TGATGTTCCTGAAAATCGTACTCTGAAGGCTCACGGACACCTACCACTCTGAGATTCGGATTCAGCATTGTTGATAACCTATAAACCACTAGGTTTACCTGGAAAAGCGATGTGCCAGTTCGGGAGATGTCTTCGTAAGAACAAGTTTTGCTGAAATGCGATGGATCTTACTATATTCTACACGCCATGGTATCTACTAATCTTTGCCCAGGGATAATCTACGCGTAATTTTTTCATGCAGTTCTTCTCTATACACGTTTATCTACAAATAAAAATGTTTCGATTAGTTGAGACTTACCTTTGAGACCTGCGCTTTCTTGCATGTAAACCAAGTGCTTGTCAAGAATATCAAGTACTAGAATTACTTTATCTTCTTGCCAAGTCGTTTGCCACGCACTTGCTCAAGTAACCCCCAAGTACCTGCGGAAGGTACTTGGGAAGCTACTTGAACAATGCATAAAACAATTTATTTTTCTGATTCTATAGATAAATCTTTCTTATGTTCTAGTCATCTTTTGCAGTACTTCAGTCAATCAGTTCGTTAAGCAATGGTTTAACGAAGACTAAACACTACAGTTATAATGCACATTATAATGTATACAACAGAGGGACAAAAAAGAAAAATTGTCATTAAAAGTAGAAAGTTATAGAAAGCGGCACACAGCAATTATTCTATCTGATGTTCTTCATTTTGTGTGTTCTGAAACACTTGTAGCCATTGCACAACAAGAGTGATCAGTCATGACTAGTTATTTGACTGGTCTGCTTATTTGAGGTTACTGTGCAGAGTAAGACTAGATGTCGGCCTTTGGTGTAGCCGAAGATATTTTCTGTAGGAATATTGCATAGGAACCATCTTTTCCCCGGGGGTTAACTAAAACAAGTTTGGAAGCTAGGAAAAAGAATTTAGAAAGTTTCACTAGTAATCACGCGTGAGAAATTTTTGACACGTAGTAAAGAGTTACAGTCATTTTGAATCATGAATCGTCTTGAAAATGTTCTTTTACAAACGTCAAAAATGATGAAAAAGTAGAAAACGCCATCGCGGTACACAATACAATCCTAAAACGAAATACTTTTCAAATAAAAAACTACGTACATCGGATAGCTTGTAAGAAATTAACTTTAGGTATTTAATTTTGTTAAAAAATAGCTGATACAAACAGGTGAAAACAAACAATACTCACCTTTCGTTACGCGATGATGTTTACTCACGATTCATAAAAAAAGATGTAATAGGTAAAAAATCGATTGACGTGCCAAAAGTTAACCCTGTTTTCATAAATTTAATTAGTAGCAGTCAAACTTGTATATGTCAGGCTATGCCGATATATAGGCAAATCTAATCAGATGACTCATTTAAAGAAATTTTCTTGTTGACTGATGATACTTTTTGCATCAATTAAACAGCATACTTAATTCCCTCAAGAAAACAAAATATGTTTTCATACACTTTAGACTATGCTGGTGAAACGGAAGATCGACAGCTGGACTTTTGCCATCGGAATTCCACCATTATCATTTTTACTCAATATTTTTGACAAATTGTCGAAAGTTAGATCTGATTTTTGACATTGTCGAATTTCAGGTTGTTTTTCGGCTATTGTCGTAAGTCCTTGTAATTTTGATAATTGTCCAAAATCCATCGACATTTCGACGAATTACTAAATATTAGTAAAAGTAGTTCAAGTGACACAATATCAACAAAATTCGTCATAACGTTCATATTTATCTACAGCAATAGATTAAAACCGAATCAGTGAACTGCAGTCTTCTTCTAATAATTCAAACAATAACGATATTAGTTAGAATACAGAGATTATAGACTATAAAAACATAGTGTATTATTTTATTATTATGCACGGTGTATGCTATTCAAAATTTGACTTCAAGCGCAACTGAAAATTACTGTCAAAAATTCCGCTGTATTTTCGGCGATTGTCGAAGTTCATTGAGAAGAAAATCATATCAATTTTCGACAGCTGTCGAAATTATTGGCGACTTTGCTCGCTATATTCGACAATACCGCGAAAATCCTCCGGAATTTGGACTATCAAAATTTCGATGACGAAATTCCAAGATATCACTATGCTCTGCAAGATGCAATAATGAGTTTTAAAAATAACTATTCAATAACTCAGCTTGTTGAAGTTACGGATTACGTGTTTAAGCCGTGCAGGTCTATTGGACACAGAACGGAGGAAAGTTGAAAACTAATTTTTCGAAAACGATCGATTTCCAGATATCCATATACTACCATGAAACGTTTCGTATTAGAAATTACGGCTTTAACTGCAATATATCCAATAACGTTTGCTCAAGAGTCTAACAAGTAAAATATATAAAAGTAAAATTCTTTTTTTTACTGAAAAAGAGCATGGATCGATCGATACTTAAGAAAAACTGGAAAGAGGTTGGCGGGTCTATAATTCGCACAATATGAGCTCATAGAGGAAGTAGAAAGACCAACCTCGAAAATCTTCAGTATCTTATTCGCATAATAGTATTTGTATGAAGTCAAGGATAACTCATATGCTGACTATTCATAATTATGAATTGCTTCTGAAAAGGATCTCAAGCTTTCGAAAAAAGTGAAACTGACCGTTAATCATCGCGTTCGAAATTTATAAGAAGAATCAACAACAAGCAGAATAATGTAACAGAATTGCATCTTCGGTTGCAGGCTTACAAGGTCAGATGAAAAGAAAGTGTTATCGCAAAGAAATAATAACAGACAGAGGACATGACAAAATTAGTCTGCTGACTTTGATCTTTTAAATGAACAACAGCAGCGATAAGGATCACGTGGAGGACCGAAAAATTGATTACAACGATTGATGACAGCGTTCAAGTTGGGAAAGAAAATGGGAGAAGGCAAAGAATGGAAACAGCTGCTGTTCAATATTTCCGCTAAGTTATTACCGACAAAAATTCACAAAATTTAGATGTGAAATCTTTGATCCGAGCCGAAGAATTTCATACGCGATATTTCTCTCAGTTCTTTATTAAAAAATGAGCGAAGAAACTAGCACGGATGCTCATAGCTCGCAGAAACAAATTGTTTTCTTAGATTTATATTCACTTTGTGTTTGTGTTTTTCTTTGCTTTTGTTAAAAAATATGTTTTTATTCCATTTTCAATCAAAAACGACGCTTTTCACGTATACAAATGCAATAGAGCTGCTGGTCACATTTTTTTCCAATTTGTGGCTTCATGGATTAGAGTTCTAAAAACCTATCGCTTCATGAGCAGCGCATGGGTATCGACTCCTCAACCCATGGTTTAGTCTATCCAAATCATCCAAACTACGTCCAGAACATAATCCATCAGCAACTCTGCAGAGTATGAGAAATAGAGTCAATAAGGATAATTTTTCAAAATCGATTGAGTAGAGTTTTTCGTCGTACGCGATCGGTCAGTATCTTTAACTTGTTGGATGTCTTCAGGGGGCTGTTCTAGATTTCTTTGACAAACCACCTGATAGAACTTTGCTTGAGCCACAAAATTCACTATTTCGATTCGGAATCGAACTGTCACGTGAGATTTATTTAAGGAAAAGCGACGATTGACTTACAGAAAGGAGAATTCAGAATTTCGTGTAGACGAAACTGTGCAAGACAATCTCGACCTCGTTGCCATTTATTGGAGCGTGTCCATCGAATGTCCACAGGTTGATGAGAACAGGAGCGGGCTCTTGGGGAACGGCCGTCGCCCAAGACTTGTCTGAAGTAAATATAAAAAATATAAATCCGAAGGGATCAGTAGTGAAACCATGTTGAGCTCGGATCGAAATGGAATCGTTGGCCCACTCGATCCGATGGGTCGTGTATGTACCCGTGAGCGTCGTGACTCGAGTGCCGGTTGCGTTCGTCGACTCCCCCACTGCGTTCGGATAGAGTGTGTACCAGAGACAGTTGGCCTCGGGAGTCATGTTGCCCCAACGGGTGAAGTCAATGGCAATTGAATTCGTTTTATAGTTCGTTTTATTCACGTCACTGTCAGTGGATAGACTAAAGACAACGTTGGGATCGAACCTGTCGATTGGTGCTTCGATGTAGAACATAAAGGTGCCGAAAGAAAAATTGGTCCGACTGACCAGTTCAGCACACCACCAGTGACCAACCTTGTCACGGGTCAGTTTAATGTGAAGGCTTTCTATAGAGTCGACCCACACGTTACTCGATGTCCAGTTGTTGGAACCTGAGTAAATAATTACTGATATTCATTGTAGCAGCGAAAAATACAAGTAAATGCTCACCAACTTCAGAGTTGAGCTGATTGCGCACGTCCCAGTCGTAGCCAGCCCAAGTGATGGTTTTTCCAGCAGACGCATTGAAGTTGAATGGAAGCGTGCTCGTGGTTGGAGAAGGTACAGTCGTAGTTGTAGCGAGCAAAGTGCCTCCAACTGAAAACAGAAAAAATAACGAAGAATGTCTCTATGCGTCAGCCCCTTCTGGGATTAGCCCTTTATCAGTTGTTCAAAATTTGATGTTATTATCATTAACGGAATAAACCATCATGCCAAGTTCAAGGTTGCACAGCTTACTTGCGGTCCTAGCAAACGATTTGTTGCTTTTGCCTCGAGCGCCTAATACTGCTCCCAGTATGATTGCTACCATGATGAACACGGCTACTAATCCAAGGCCGACATGTACTCTTTTCTTCTCGTACCAGGGGCTATGTATAAAATATTAATTGGCTCAATAAAAACCACACAACAAGACGATATACACATACCGAAGACTGTCTCTTTTGTCTTTGAGCAATTCCAGATCCATTTCCTATGACAAGAATGAAATAAATAAATAAAGTTACCAAAACAAAGACAAATTTAACAAAGCCTACCGTCACTGAACCTGACTCGGAGACGTGAGGAATAAGTTGAGCACCTATGGCAATGAAAATACACAGAAATTTAAGTATGTATGAGAAAGTCTGCACATGTTGCGCTCTTTTTGTTCTGAGGGACTACTGTAACACTATAAGAAACCTATAACAACTCAGTCTATTTTTGTGCAACGTAGAATTCTCGTAAAGTTACCTTTGAATGGCGGTTCGAGCAATTCATGTATCGGTCGTGTCTGTTGCAAATGGACAAGGTATAGGCCGGGTGCCGGATTGAGCTGTGACAAAACTTTCAAACGTGTACCGGGCAACAACAAAATTTCGTCTTCGGTCGTGAAATGTGAATGATTTCGTATTGTGCGTCCGTTGAGGGTTTCAATCGAAAAGAGAGTTCTTGTTCCCACGTTGCCCAAATATAAATCGGATTCGAGAACACTCAATGATGTTGTACACGATGAGAAAGACCACCATGTGGCCTCAGCACCAGGTGGATAATCAGCACTATGATCCTTACGCACACCACGCCAGACAACTTGACGAGGAGAGAGTGGTAGTTTAGCCAAAGCAGTGAGAAACAATTTTAAGTAGCGAAACCAAGGTCGCAGTTTAGTTCGATCAACTTGTTTGAGTGTTCGATTGAGATGTACATAGAGACTTCCGCGAGGTTCACCTTCCTCCGGTTCCCATTCCATGGTGTAGAGATGAATGGCGGCTGACTCGTCTTGAGTGAGACCATCAACAGGATTTTTCGAATTCTCCTTGGCCACCCATATGTGAGGCAGTAGGCGAGAGACGACCGGATGCAGCGGTTGACAGGCTTCTTCCAGTGGCAAAAGCGGCTCATGTGCATAGCCCCAAACGGGCTGCAGCATCTGTTTGGGATCATCGTTGACGGTGGATACATACCGTGGGTTGACAAATTCAATCAGATTGGTGTCCATATGATTATGCGTTTTTTCTCTTAGCGATATTCGTTTTATTTTATTATTAGAGAAGAAAATGATACTATGAGTATTCAATGACGAGCAGTCATCCGTGACCCATCTATTGCGAGGAGGTGGTCGTAGTTTTGGATTCTTTTTCCTTGTGACGAAGGACATACACGAGTTCTGTATACTCACTTTTATTTCAAAGAGCAAGTTGACGTGTATTAATGTGACTATGAGACAAAATTCTCCTATGCATCGTTGAGTGAGCTCAGGAAATTAGGAAAATACTAAAGCTCTCTATAGAGATAATAACAACAGCTATGTTTAATTCCATTATTTAATTTTTTATTAAAATTCGACGTTTCGAAAATACAATTTTCATTCTCAAGAAAAACAATAGGTGAACAGACTATAATGTAGCAATAGAGTCAATTTTAACTCTATATTTTTCTTGAGAATGAAAATTGTATTTTCGAAACGTCGAATTTTAATAAAAAGTTAAATAATGGAATTAAAAACAGCTGTTATTATTATCTCTATAGATTTAAAATTTTTACCCGTTAATAAACGTAACATTACTAAAGCTCTCTGCTTTCTTTGAACTCCAGGATATGAAAAAGCAATGATTAAACATTCATATATATTTATATATTCTCCGTGGAGCCGGTAGTGGTTTCTAGTAGAATTTAAGTAAGCAACGATGTAGTAATGATTGTAGAAAGATCTTGAGGAATTTTTTCAAATATTCTAGATTTTGATGTAGAAAGATGTGTACACTTTCTCATCTTTGTTGCTGAAAATATTTTATAAGCAGCTTATAAATTTTTATAAATTTGTCAGATAAAAGAGCTCATCAGATGAAGATTTTAGAAGCTTTAGCTTGAACGGTAGACTACTGGCACAATGCTGCCGTTTTCTTTTCTCGTGCGTCCAACAGGAGTGATTGCAATGAATGTTCAATTACCGAATTATGAATAAAACTCTTTGTTTGCATCTTTCAAGAAATAACTATTTTGATTTTTGTAATATGAATAGCGATAGTGGTTCGTCTGCATATACTGACACAGTCAGTCTCGAGAGTAGTACTTGTACCGGTGAAGAATTTCCGTTTATAATTCTACGCTATAACATTCTATAATTCTACTCAATGTACCATACAAGTCAAGAGGACAAGCCGAAATAACCAAATAGTAATCATTCGAAGAAAAGCGTAACACCGACTGTTTCTCAATTCTCTCGATTATTAAGGAACTACTAGGAAATCGATGATTTTCTTCAAAACATCGAAATTGAGTTTATTGCTTAGTTAGATACTTTGAAGCTTCTTCTATCAGGATCTGTGTCGATTTCAATAAAAAAAAACAGTTTTTGGTAATAGGTTTTTGAGAAGTTTTCTGAAAGTCACCGCAGTAGTTAGCCAATTTAAACAAATTTTCCTGAATTATCATGGATAGATGCCATAGCGCAATTTTAACTAATGAAGGTGTTTACCTACTGTACACTCTGAAAAAAAGCGTCATGAACAAAGCCCAAAGGATTTACTAATGGGTTTAGGAAACGTTACTAAACTCGTAAGAACATTTGAGTCGTTCTTTAAAGTTTAAAAGGTTTTGTAAAGGGTTTACAAGTCTTACTGAACCTTAGCGTTTTTTAAACTATAGTTTAGCAATATAATTAGGGTTTTTTCTGAAGATTGAAAGGTTTCGTAAAGCAGATAAAAAACCTTAGGGTTTTCCTTTATCTCAAAAAGCCCAATAGAATGTTTTATTAAGCCCGTGTGGTTTTTCATTCAGCGTTTTTGAGTTTACTAACCTATGAGATTTAGAATCCAAAGATTTCTTACAATTTCGCTAATATTGGTTTTTCGTTCCTCTGAATCATCCGAAACCCTAGATTGTAGAAGGTTTTTTCGTACATATTTTTGTCGAAAGAAAGCTCTTAAGTTACGAATTCAGTTAACTTTGGAGTGTTACATAGTGGAAAGGAGTTCGATATTCTCTGTTACTTAAAACGTCTGGTCTGGTGCACAAGCTTGTCTGACTTCTATTGTTCTATCATAATAGAAGTCATTCTCAAACGCTGTTTACTGCGAAAAGAAAACTGCGATTAAAAAACTGAAAATGATGTACCTATATATATATGAAAGAAAGAGAGAATATATAGATTCCTATATGTATGTAATATGAGCGTAGGTAACTTAATAATAAAGAAAAACCACAGTCTGCCGCATTGCTAAAGGACGTACGGTGAAATTGACTTTTTTCCGTTCGCTCTCTTTCAGGTAAATGAAAAGCACACATCGTTTTTAAATTAAATTTTTAGAATATCGAACGCAAAAAAGATCATTTTCAGCACTTCCTGAAATAGCCCTTCTGTACATATGACTACCTATTGGAACTTTTAAATACTTTCGACTTAATGTAAACTAATTTCGAGACTCAAAGGAATTTGAAAGGAAATTCGTTCACATTAATTTATAAAGCTGATCAACTTTGACAGAGGTCGATGATGTGCCGCATAGGCATCATTACTAAAATGTACTTCTGGCAGTTTCATTTTTGTAGATTGCATTTTTTTCTCCACCCGAAAAAAAATACTCCTTTCTAAATATTTCAGAAACATATCTCCTCTAGATATGTCATTTTCTGGAGTATTTAGATGTTTGAAGCAACGGTTAAGTTGACAAAATAATAGGGTACAGCTCCATATCATATCAGCAGATATTTCACATATGTTTAGTGCTGTCATAACATGGATACGGAATGTATCCACCTCGACCGCCCATCGCAATATGTACTTGTATACATATATCTACAAGTAACGCTCATCTTCGATTCACCATTGCTGAATTCAGACAAATTGAACAACGAAGAAAAAATCATACTTTAGGCTTTTCGGCTTTGGCGATCGCGCCACTAGAACTGCGACAAATAGCGCTTTTCTTTTCTTATTCACGTTATATGTAGTCTGTGTGCTCACTCTATACTGTGCGTGATCAACTATGTTTGATATAAAGTTATATATCTATATGCTGTAGCCAAACTTAAATATGGAAATTTTAACTTTGTCTAGTCGAATTTCGAATTTGACTAGCCTAAATTAAAATCAAGGATCTAATTTTAACTTTGGCTGGGCGAACTTTTGGCTGAGAATCGCGATTCGTGAGAAGGCACCACAACAAGGGCTAAAAATAGGCTTGTACCACACGCAAGGATTCTCATTCCAGATAAACGATAGAGACTTTGGCCTAGGCGCGCACCCGCTACGGTTAACCGACGTGCGGTTGTAACCGATAATTTTAAATGGTATTCTCAGGGAAGTTTTTTAAGAAATAATTAAAATTTCAGCCTTCATGTTTTCTATTTCTTCTGTATTTCAAATAAGCGGTTTGCGGAAAGTTTACGGTTGGTCAGAAGACAAAAATGTATCTTTCATGTACTCAAATAGAAGAGTCCCGACTCGAACCTGTTATATCTCACATTCTTCTTCGTATTTCTGAGTTCTGTGTGTTTCAAATTATTAAACGTTTTGTATCAGCAGAAGACACAGTTTCTTCTTTAGATTAAATTTAACCATGACGGTGCAGTCCATAGCCAGTCTTCAATCCTGGATTTCTGACCTTGTGAAAATCTCTGAAACACGGGCTACAAGCACATTCAAAATGTCGAATTCATTTCTTACAGTAGAATCGTGACCATAGGAAAACGTAACAGACATATCGATTACAACCGACATCGGTTGTTCGGTTATAACTGTAACCGGTGCATCCCTAGTTTGGGCTGTTGTCGTTGTGCAGTAAACCTATAACAATTATATTTATATAGTAAACACGTAACATTTATATTCTATTTTTAAGAAATCTAGGAAAAATTTTGGAAAAGCTCTTGTTTTTCCGTAAGGGTTTCTGGAAAACCTTTGATATAAATTTCGTGTAGCCTCCATAAAATCGTGTAACCTTGTTATTATGAAAGCAAGAGTATTTAACTATAATTTGAACAACATACCACGTGGTGTTAATCGAAGCTCACGTCGAGAATTTGGGGTTAATATTTCTAAAAATATCAAACCATCAAATTAAGATATTGATCCGAATGGAAACAAAATGTTGTTGAATTTATGAATTGTGATAATGTGATCAAAGTTTGTTCAGATGTAAAGACGATGCATAAAGGTGTTCCGATTCGTTATCGACTTCATAATTTAAATGTTACACACGAACAATTCCGAGCTGGAACTAGGATATCATGCTCATATTCTATCTTTCGCTAATACATACCACCAGATATTAAAAAACCGAATGTGAATGATTGGAGACATCTCTTTGCATGTTATATCTAAATGAAATTGGAAAAATTAATTCGAATGAACGCGATCAATAATACTGATACAGATTTGCACAACATTGTCAAAGGTAGGCATGCACCAGTTCCAATCTTAGGCTTGGAGGATTGGTACCAGTTAGGCTTGGTACCAATCCCAACAATCTCCAGTTAGGCTTGGTATCAGTCGGATTGGTCGACC